CACTTGACTTCTAAGGGAACTATCTTCTGAGAGTTCCACCTGGTTGTTCAGCTGCCAAGCTCTCCGCCTAGAAGAGTGTTCCTTCAATTTCTGCTTCCCAAACTTCGCTGTGTCTTCGAAACACCTGGCACCTGTGGTTAAAGAGTGTGGGAGGCTGCTGAGCTTTGGCCTTTCTCAGGTGGTGACATTGCTTCTGACCAGAGTTTGAGCGGCAAGACCTCAGGCTGAATTAAATCCACCTTCAGGACCACAGAGAACAAACCCACATGACCTGCTGTTTTTGATACTGGAACAGAAAACCATGTCTTGCCCAAATCATCCATTTTCAGCCACAAGCATTGTCGTTCCTTTGATAGACCCTATGTGCCATGGCTTTGTGTTTTCTTATGGTCTTATTAGCTGTCTCCTGGAAGTGCTCGCATGAATGTTGACACACCCTCCAACTATGTGGCAGCAAGCCTGCAACACTCCAGCTTTGGCGGAACAACCTCAGGGCAAAGCAGGACCTGCTTCAAATGAGCTCCAGACTGCACAGTCTTGTTTAGGAATGTGGTCATATGGACAGATAAGGAGCCTAAGCTCAACAAAGACCTCCATTCCTCCCCCTTGTAAACACCCTTGCCTTTCTTGACACAATGGTGGGAAAACAGGTGATAAACTAATTCCTCATGTAAAGTAATAATAATGTGACGTGTTACCCTTTAAGGGAATTTTGACAAGGTAAGCCTAAAGAGGCAATGTCATAATCTAAAGACAAACTCCTAAATGGTGTCATTCTAGGCCCCATGGCAGATTGGTGGGAAAGACGTGTGACACGGGGGCTGCTTAGAGCATACTGTGCCATAGCTGCCTCCTCCCACTCTCCCTGACGTCCCTGGACACATGAAACACATGGCACTCTGTTCTACAACACTTGGCATGAGGAACAATGTCCATGAAATCGGTTGATTTAGAACAATTCAGTTTTTCAAAGCATCCATGGGCTAGGGAAGGGCTCATGAAAACAATTGCAGTCATTACTTCCAAAGCCAAGCCAACTAGGAATGAAACCAGCATTCAGGTAGAAATGCCCGCCCCAGGCAAAGGAAGCAGTGAGGCAGCTACACTACTCCAGGGGAAAGACTGGAACCTCATTCAGCATGGTGAGCTTGGAAGGGAGAGAATAAGGTGAAAACCAAGGCAAGAGTTTTCTCAGTGATCACTTAAAGGCAGCTGAAGGGGGGCTCCTGGGACAAGATGTTAAAATAAAACTATTTTAGTTTTCATTTTGGCTGAGGCTGCAAGACAATAGACACCCCATACCAGAGTGAAGGGTTCCAATCTTGCAGAAAGAGATGGTGGGAAGCCAGTTCTGCACCTATAGATGACAACCCACGTCTAGTCTACAAAATAAATTGTAGGGGTTGCAAAACAGGTTGAATAGAAGATGAATTATGGAGAGAACTGTCCAGTGGGTTCCCAGGGGCTTCAATGCGGCCATGTGAAGAGCTTGCTGTCTGCCTCTGGAACTTGCAAGACACAATGGATCCCTGTTTGGTTCCCATGAGAAATCTAAAAGTCTAGCTGCTCTGATGGTAGAGCAAAGGAGAGGTGCCTGCAGAGACCTGCCTGCATGCCCACAGTTGGTTTGAGTAGAGAATGTGTGTTTCTCAGGGGCTGGATGGAGCCATCAGAAGAGGGGTCTGAAATAAGATCTTAGATCCTTTCCACAGGACTGTCTGGGGGCACATAGGGGCCTCAGCAGAAAGCAGTTAGAGATTTACTCACAGGTACCTGAGGCTATGGAAGGAGCTGTAAGTAAGCAGCCAGAGAGGAGTTACATTTGTCCATGTGAGAGATGGTGGAATCACCGAAAGACCCTTGTAAAAGCCCACAGGATGAAGGATCAGCTTTAAACACCTGCCAGAATCAGGGAGCATGATGCCAACTCACAGCAGGATTAGCCAAGTAAAAGCTCTCCTATTCTTGCCTCTCCTTCAAAATCATGAGCTAGATATGAGAGAGGGGCAAAAACACAAGGCTGGGCAGAGGGTGCAGGGAAGCCAACCAAACCCTCCTTTACTGCTGTAGGCAACTGGCAAAGCAGGCCTCCGCTGGGAATGGGGAGTAGTTATATCTTTGAGTGAAATTTAAAGTTTGATGATCACACTGACCTGGACATATTAATTATTGGCTAGAGAATGTTTTGTTACCCGAAAGGAGCCAGAAGAGTCACAAGATTTGTCCTAAATGTATTCATGGATAAGAAAGAAATGGTCCCACAGGATGCATTTAAAGGACAATGGGAGACATGGATTATGTGGCTTTATGGTTATGTCCCATGGGTCATTGGTTGTTCAGTGAAACAACGATTCAAGAGTTTGAGAAGTCAAATTAGACAATTCTGCTCTTCTCATTGCAAGATTCACTAGAAGGATATTAGCTTTAGAATGTTTCTGAGTGAACTAAGTTTTACAGGAGAGCCAGATCCATACTGTCAGAACCAGAAGGAACATTAGACATGAGCAACTCCAAGCCCTCATTTAGGAAACTGAGGCCCAGCCCTAGCGGGTTTGGCTCAGTGGATAGAGCTTTGGCCTGCGGACTGAAGGGTCCCAGATTCGATGGGTTGCTCCCCAGTAGGGGGCATGCAGGAGGCAGCCAATCAGTGATCTCTCTCATCATTGATGTTTCTATCTCTCTCTCCCTTTCCCTTCCTCTTTAAAGTCAATAAAAATATATTAAAAAATAAAAGAAACTGAGGCCTAGAGACATCAAGAAAAACAGGAAATATACAGCATCTGCTCACAAAGGCCAAATTTAATTAGTTACCTTTCTTTGTAAAGGCAGAATTTCCCTGGTTTCAGAGAGATTAAAGTAAAACTGTAGACAATGTTTTGACAGTATTAAAAAAAAATCTATGCTAAGACTTTGTTGGCCCCAAATAGCTAAAGAAATATTGATAATGAAGAACAAAGTTGGAGGTATCACACTACCTGGTATCAACTATACTTCAAGGCTATAGTACTCAAAACAGCATGGTACTGGCATTAAAACAGACACATAGATCGATGGAACAGAATAGAGAGCCCAGAAATAAACCTATGCCTATTTGGTCAATTAATCTATGACAAAGAAGGCAAGAATATACAATGGGGTAAAGACAGTTTCTTCAATAAATGGTATTGGAAAAACTAGACAGATAGATGCAAAAAATTGAAACGAGACCACTTTCATATACCAGCTACAAAAATAAACTCACAGTAAATTAAAAACTTAAATGTGAGACCTGAAATCATAAAACTCCTAGAAGAAAACACAGGCAGTAAACTCTTTGACATCACTCTTAGCAATATTTTTTTGTTCTGTCTCCTTGGGCAAGGGAAACAAAAGAAAAAATAAACAAATTAGATTACACCAAACTAAAAGTCTTTGCACATCAAAGGAAACCATCAACAAAATGAAAAGACAATGTACTGAATGGGAGAATATATTTGCCAATGATAAATCCAATAAGGGGTAAATATCCAAAATATATAAGGAACTCATACAACTTAAGCCCCTCTTTCATCCCCCCTCCCCAGTAATCCAATTAAAAATGGGCAAATGACCTTCATAGACATTTCTCCAAACTGAACATACAGCTGGCCAACATACAATGAAAAGATGCTCAACATCACTAATCATCAGAGAGATGTGAATTAAAACCACAATAAGATATTACCTCCCACTTGTCAGAATGGCTAAATCAACAAACAAGTGCTGGCAAGGATGTGGAGAAAAGGGAACCCTAGTGCACTGCTGGTGGGAATGCAGATTGGAGCAGCCACCAAATCTGGGAAAACAGTATGCATGTTTCTCCAAAAATTGAAAGTAGAACTACCATATGACCCAGCTATCCACTTCTGGGCATATATCTGAATACATCTAAAACACTGATTTGAAAAGATACATGCACCCCTATGTTCATAGCAGCATGATTTACAGTAGCCAAGATATGAAAACAACCTAAATGTACATGAATAGATGAATGAAGATGTGGTACATATATACTGATACAATGGAATATTACTCAGCCATAAAAAAGAAATGAAATCTTCCCATTTGCAACAACATGGACAAACCTAGAGGATATTATGCTAAGTAAAGTAAGTCAGACAGAGAAAGACAAATGTCATATGATTTCACTTACATGTGGGACCTAAAAAACAAAATAAATGAACAGACAAAACAGAAACAAATTCATAGATACAGAGAACAAATGAATGATCCCATATGAGAGGAGGTTTTGGGAATGAGTGAAAAAGATGGAGGGATTAAAAAGTACAAATTGCCAGTTATAAGAATAGTCACAGGCACATCATGGCAAGTTTGCCCATGTGGCCTTATGCCCTTCCCACTGGGAATGGCCACTTTCCCATGCTGAGCTATTCTGGGGCTGGGGGTACCAAAGGCACTCAGCCCCTGGGTCACTTTCCATTCTGCGATGAAAAAGAAACACCAACTCTCACTGGAAGACATATTTGGTGTCTGGTCTGGTCAAATTCTTGCAAGACACTCGGGCACACCTTTTATTGAAATTGGTAGGCATCTGAGGTCCCCAGGCAGGACCAATGTAATTGATTCTTAGCCCTAATTTTTCCAGGATTTCTTATTTCCTTAGTTTCTTGGTTTTTCAACTCCTCAACAATGATGAATAAATGCCCAGGAGTCTTAATTAGAGGAGTGTGAAGAAAATCACTCTTTATATGCAATGTGGTCTCTTAAATTCCAATAGGCCTAGAAGCTATAATGGAGTGACCTCTTCCCACTGCAGCCAGGATGCGGACCATCTAGGTATCCTTGGTCCTGACAGGCCCTGATTGCTCCCAGGGCTTCCAGAGAAGCAGCCCGTGGGCCTCCAGCAGGAGAGCTCCGAGGAGTTGTGGCAGCTCCCTCCGCAGCAGCCTCATCTGGCCCGGGAGGGCAGGTGCCCCTGGGGCCACCTGCAGGCAAGGGGAAGACAGATGGACAAAGCCTACCTGTCTCCATCCTGCCTTCCTGGTTCTCCTGGGCTTCCTCGGAGGCACTGGAGCGCCTGGGGAAGGGCTGGTGGCTGAAGAGGTCATCGCACAGGAGGCTTCGGCACAGCTTGGCGAGGAAGCGGAGGACGTACCCGATGCTGTTCACCACAGGCAGGCTCCGCAGGTGCTGTTTCCCGTCAAAGGACGCCGAGACTGGAAAACCAGACGGCAACTCAGAGCCGGGCGCTGGAGAAAGCCACACGCCTCAGGCCTGGGGCAGAGGGTTTTGTTGGCTCAGTTTTGTTTCTAGCTAGCCTATGTTTGGGTTCCACCTGTTTGTTTATTTTTGTTTGTTTTTTCACGAGTGTCCTGTTTCTGTTCCAGGATGTCATCCAGGAGACCACATTGCGGGTAGTTGTGGCGTCTCCTTAGACTCCTCTGGTTTGTGACTAGTTCCCAGCTTTTCCTTGTTTTCCACGACCTTGGTAGTTGTTAAGCGTACTGGTCAGATAGTTTGTAAAATGTCCCTCAGTTTGGGTTTGTCTAATTTTGCCTCATTATTTGACTGGGGTGATGAGTTTTGGGGAGGAAGACCACAGAGGTGAAGTGCCTTCCTCATTGCAACAGGTTAGGTGTACATGACATCACTGGGGTTTACTGGGGTTTAACCTTCACCTGGCCACCACAGTGTTTGCTACACTTCTCCACTGTACTCCCCAATTTCTTATTGCCTTACAAATAAGTCACAAGGTCCTGCCCACTCCAGGGTAGGGGAGGGATTAAGCTATACCTTCTGGAAGGGGAGAGTCTCTGTAGCATTTGTAATCCTTCTAGAAGGAAAAAGTCTCTTCTCCTCCATTTATTTATTTATTTATTTATTTATTTATTCAATCATTTATTATTACCAGTACAGACTCATTGTATTTATTTTGTACTGTGGTTATCCAATACTATGTTATTTACTTTGTTGATCAAATTGTTCAAGCTTTTAGGATGAATCCTGTGTCCCTATGACATGCCCTCATTTTTTAGCAACTCTTTAGTTACTGTCACTTCAATATGTTCCAGGTTCATCTTGTCTTTCTCTGACCCAGCCCTAAAATCAGCCGTTTCTTCAGCAGCCCTGGTTCCATTTACTGAAGATTGATATTTAGAAACCAAGATTTAGGCATTGATGGTGATTGGAAACTCAGCAAGGCTAAGCTTTTGGGAGATATAAGAGGTGATCAGAGCTAGTTTTTATTTCAAAACTAAAAATAAACAAAATACCCATTTTAATTAGAAATCAAAATAATCCATTTCTTTTGTGTAGCTCTTTATGTGTGACAAGAGCTTTCATATCCATGACCTCCTTTAGGTCTCCTGACTGTCCTGTGAGGAAAGTGAAAAGGTTGCCCCGTGTTACAGATGAGGACACTGCAGAGGGCCTGGTTTTTCCAGCTCCTGTGGCCTCTAAGTGGACTTGCCTGTCATTTTAATGCTCCAGGTGACCCTGATTAAGAGAGACAGCCAAGGAGCTCCCAAGATGCTCACCAAGGAGTCATCTTGGTCATTCAGATGCCCTAGCAATTCCTTCCTTGTGTGGGTACTGTTACCTGCCTCCAATACCATGGAAATCTGGGTGTGTTGGAAACTGAACACACAGTGGGAGGACCTGGGGCGTCAGGTCTATCCCATAAATCAGTGTGCATACTTTCCTGGAGGAGCCTGGGAGATCACATAAGTGGGAAGATTCCACCTCCTGGAGGAGGACATGGATTTGTAAGATCAAAAAGTCTAGCCCTGTGGGAGAGGGCTGTAAGGCGGAGCATCCCAGCAGGTGTGCAAGGAGTGGGTGTGGGGCACAGCAGGACTGCTCCCCGAGGCCCAGCAGTTTGGTTCCTTTGGCCATTGTGCCAGCACCAGTGTCACCATTCTTTATGTATTCTGCCATGAGAATATTTGGAAACCAGTGCCCCAAGGACCAACTTCTTGTTTGAGAGTGGGGGCGGGGAGTGGGGGGGGGTCTGGCTATTTCTCCTGAGTCCTTCCCTAAACCACCTCAGTGCTGTCACTTAGCCTTGCTGAGCTTCCAAGCACTGTCAGTAACATGAAAGACCACCTTGCCACTTCTTGGCCTCAATGTGGTGGCACGAGGAGTCCCCTCAGTGCTACTGCATTCCCCAAGACACTAAGACCAAGTGCTCAGCTCTGGCCTTCCTGGGAATCCTTCAGCCAAGGGAAACTTGGCGAGGCTCTGCCCACACTCACGTTGGTGCCAGGCAGTACCGAAGCTCCTCCCCAGCACCAAGGCCCCTGAGGCCACAGAAAGGCTGAGCAAGAAAGCAGGGAAAACGGGGTCAGCTCTCCCAGGTTTGGGGGAAGGAGCCATAAAGAATCAGCCAGGTGGGATTTGCTCAAGAAGGTGGGCACACAGTACAGGAGGGGCTTTCTCTTAGCACCTGAGTGTTGAGCCCCGATATTTAGCAGGGAAAAGGACAAGGCCTTTGATCTCAGGTTGCAGCCCGGACAGAACCTGGCTCTCAGACAGAAGCTAGGAGGAGAACGGCCAAGAAGCTCTTGGAAGGCCTCACAACAGGTCTCTCCTCCTGGCCTCTCTTGGTGCAGTACTTCTATCTCTGCTCACATCTGCTAAAGTCTCTTAAAAGTCACCCTGGGTCAGACACATGCGCTTGGACCTAGCCAAGCTCTATTTTAATCCACTACCAGCAAGTCAGGCCCAGCTTCCTGCTCAGAGGAAGCTCTAGAAGGTGGGCTGAAACAGTCAGAGCTGGGGAGGCTGTTGGACACCCTGCCCAGCCCAAGCCCTAGGGATCTGGAGTTATGGACACAGACAATAGGGTGGTGAAGGCCCAGGGCAGGGGGTGGGGGCAGGCCAGAAAGGGGGGGGGGGGGCATATGTAATACTTTCAACAATAAAGATTAAATAAATAAATAAATAAATAAATAAATAAATAAATAAATAAAACGTGCTGCTTTGATTCTTCAGGATAGAGCCAGATTGGAGTCTTCTTTCCCCTGTTCTTAGCCAGCCAGCAGGGTCACTTGCATGGACCCGTTGCTGGGAATCTTATTCCTTTTCCTTGCTGATATGGAGGCTGTGCCCATGATGTTGGGCCAGAGAAAACACCAAGCTATCCCCTTAGAGTCAAGACATCTCCAGGGCTTAAGGACAGGTGGTGACAACCACTGTGCAGACAGCCTCCAGTAAGACATCTGAAGGGGGCAGAGCTCCTGATTCCACCTCTCACTTGTGGTGACAACTTCTGCTCCCTCTGGAAGCTGTTGGGTTGGGGCTGAAACTGGAGATGGGCAATGACAGTGAGAGAAGGGATTGACTTGGAAGGCTCTTGTTTAAAAAAACATGCCCTGGGAGATGGAGTTGGCCTGCAGGGTGATCAGTGCCATGAAAAAGGAACGCAGAATAGAGAGTGACAGGGGCTGATATTTTAGACAAGCTGGTCAGGAAGGAGCTCTTTAATAAGGAGGCATTCGAGTAAAAACCTGAAGGAAGTTCAGGAGCAAGTCACATGGACAGCTGGGGAAGAACATTCCAGAAAGAGAGAATAGGAGGTGCAAAGACCCTGGGGCACGAGCATGGCTGGAGGACACGGGAAGAACAGCAAGGAGGAAGCTGTGGCCAGGGCAGGGTGGGGGACTTGGGAGAAGTGACCAGGAGATCCAAGAGGTGGCCAGGACCAGGTCACATAGGGCCTGTAGGCCCTTGTAAGGACGTGGGCTTTTTCTCAGAGTGAAATGGGAGCCATTGAGGGTTTAGGGCAGAGTACGGGCGTGATCTGGCTTATATTCTTAAAGAACCAGAGTGGTTGCTGTGGGTGGTGAAAGGGGCTGGATTCCGGATGTATTTTAGTTAGAGCAATAGGACTTACTGAAGGGTTGGAGGTGGGGGTGGGAGAAAGAGGAGTCAGGGGTGAGGTTTCAGATGTCCGGTCTTCTTGTCCAAGTGTGGGAGCATCTTCTCCTTGAGCTCTGAAGGAGGCCTTCAGCACACAGGCTCATGAAGGGCTCTGGAGCCCAACAGATAGAGACCAGACCCTAGCCACAACCACTGTCCCCCTAGGGCAGTGATGGCGAACCTTTTGAGCTCAGTGTGTTAGCATTTTGAAAAACCCTAACTTAACTCTGGTGCCGTGTCACATATAGAAATTTTTTGATATTTGCAACCATAGTAAAACAAAGATGTATATTTTTGATATTTATTTTATATATTTAAATGCCATTTAACAAAGAAAAATCAACCAAAAAAATGAGTTCGCGTGTCACCTCTGACATGCGTGTCATAGGTTCGCCATCACTGCCCTAGGGCTAGGCAGAGCATGGCTGCTTTCATCTTCAGAGATACCCATGGCCCTCCTCATAAACCTGCCCCAGAGCCTTACCCGAGACCATCTCACCACCATAGCCCTGCTTGACCAGGGAGAAGACCAGCTTCTGCTGGTGGGCACAGTCGATGCATGCTTGCACGGCCTGCTGCAGGACCGCCGACGGCCTCTCAGGCCCGAAGTGCTCGGGGAGCTGCTGCACCTTCCTCCTCTCCAGGTAGGGCCCGGCGTTGGCCTGCTTGTTGATGTAGAGGCAGACTGTGGAAACAGACCCACAAGCCCTCAGCAAGTGCACATCAGCCAGGGAGCTGCTCCCCATCTGCCCCTTGGCCCTGGCCTTGGAAAGCTGAAAAGGGGCAAAAGTGGGAGTGATTCTTCCTACTTAGTAAGTAAAAGAGACGAAGAAGCCAATTGCCCCAACTGCCAGGGCTTGTTCCCAAGAGGGCCTCCTGGTTGGGGACAGATGGACAGGTGGGTCCCCTGTGATGTACTCAGATCTGACAGATACGGAGGCCCATGTGGACAGTGTGTATAAATGCATTTTCGTGCTGGGCATGTACCCAGACAGAATCTTCCCTTCTTCTCCAAGGGAGCTGTCAAGCTACACATACTGTCTGCCACTTTTGATGAGTAAAAACATCAATATAATGTTGATTGCTCCAAAAACTATGTACTCAACTGCTGAAAAGAGTGCTATTTACAATTTCAGGGAAAATAATCACTCAGCCACTATTTAGGTGAGCACAATCAATGGTTTTCCACAGATCTAAAGTAAAAATAGTTTGAGCACATGCCCCAAAATGTATCTATTTATTTATAGGGCATATACAGTCTTGTCTGTATTAACGTATTGTTTACATTTTAAAACATAACCAAGAAAAATAAAATTTTTAAAGGATGAGATAAAAATATATATTAATAATAGGTATCATATTTTCTTCTGTACATCGACTCTCCTCTTCTGACTCCTCCCCCTGCCCTGCCCCTCCCCCAGCCCTACCCCAGAGCATGAGCACCTCGCCTTGGGGGACACTAACGCAAAGGAGAGTGGAAGAGGGACTTTAAGAGGACACCAACAGGGTTACTGAACAGTAATAACAATTGTGAAGAAAATTAGTTTTCATTGCCCGCTTATTATCTTCCAGGCACTTTATATATTTTATCTTGTTTCATTTTAAGACAAGCTGGGAATTAGGTGTCATTCCTCCTTTACTACTGAACAAACTGAGGCTTCACGTGGTTAGAGAGATTAGTGTTTGTAATTAGTGGAGCAACAGGGATTTGGACCCAAGCCTTTCTGAGGTCAAAGCCTATGCCCTTTTCAATCTATCAGGCTGCCTTCTCTTCTACTCATCCCAGGCGATTAAGTAAATATAATTAATAAGAACCTTCATGCCAGACACCATGCTAGGCCTTACAGAGAAAATGGTGACCCAAACCGATGAGGTCCCTGGCTTCACAGGGCTCAGTGGGGAGGCAGGCCTTCTCAGAGAGTCACAGGGACTGATGTGGGGCTGGGACAGTGAGAGTCACAGGGACTGATGTGGGGCTGGGACAGTGAGAGTCACAGGGACTGATGTGGGACTGGGACTGTGAGAGTCACAGGGACTGATGTGGGGGTGGGACAGTGAGAGTCACAGGGACTGATGTGGGGCTGGGACAGTGAGAGTCACAGGGACTGATGTGGGGCTGGGACTGTGAGAGTCACAGGGACTGATGTGGGACTGGGACTGTGAGAGTCACAGGGACTGATGTGGGACTGGGACAGTGAGAGTCACAGGGACTGATGTGGGGCTGGGACTGTGAGAAACTCTGGTGCTAGGAGAGCCCTGAGAGAAGCCTTCAGCACACGGGCTCATAAAGGGCCCTGGAGGCCTACAGATGGAGCATAGACCCTGGCCACCACCACTGTCCCAGCCTGAGACTCCCTGAGGACCCTGGCAAGAAGCCCATGAAGGAGGCAGGTGTGCCTGAGCTGAGAGACAAGGGAGACATAAGACGACCAGAGGGAAGATCATTCCAGTTGGAGAGAAGAAACTGTGCTGAGATCCTGCGGTGGGCCCCAGGGACTGGAGAGCCGTGGGCTGGGTCACAGAGGGAGGGAACTTACAGGGCCTTGTTGGCCATAAATGGGAGGAGAACGAAGGAATTTAGGTGGAAAGGGAGAGGGCAGTGCAGTGGGGTTGTGATGAGGAGGGACTGTGTGTGTGTGTGTGTGTGTGTGTGTGTGTGTGTGTGCTTGACAAAATCTGATTGCTGCTATTCTTACATTGGAACTGCTGGTTGCTGAATGTCCCATGAGAGACACTGGGCTGAGTGCTACCCTGACTGAATTGGAGGGAGCCAGGTGGAATTAAAGATTAGGATCCTTGGGAGATCTGGAGGTGCAAATAGGGGTGGAAACTCTTCAAGGTGCGCAGGCTCACTATTGGTGCAGAGTAAACCTGGCTCTGGAAAGAAAAATCTAGGCCACCAACTACTCTTTCCAGTCCCACCCCAAGGCAACCAGCTGAACCCAAGATACACTGAAAACCAAGTTTCAAATAATCCAAACTATGAGACATTTAAACTCATGTTCTCAGAGATTCTGGTCATGCTATCTGCTGTCTAGCTAAGAGACTAAATCCTTTATTTGAGCTATGTCCGTGACAGCTCTCTAATTCATAAAGTAACTGTTAAATGACAGACAGGCCATCACAGCCTTGGAGTTCGTTCTCCTGACCTACCTGTGAGCGCCTGAGGGACTCCCAGGCTGGGGATGGTGGCTGCGTCCTGAGGGATGGAGCTGAGGTCGGGCTCTGGCGTACTCCGCGGAGGTGAGAGGGCCAACGGAGTCAGGAGAACCGGAGACTTGAGCTGCAAGAGAGAGCCCATTTGGTCAATGGAAATCTGGAATGCTCTCTACACCCTACCAGAATATTTCCTGGGTGGCAGTTACACAACTTGGGTAATCAAGAAAACTTCAGACTGTGAATTTAGTTTAAAAATCACTCAATCTGACAGTGCTCCTCTCCCCTCTGTACCCGCCCACCACCCCCCAACACCACCTGGAAAAGTAAATATAAATCATCTCTGGAGAAAGGTCTCACCCCCCCCCCCCCGCCAAAAAAAAATCAATGAATAGCACAATCCAAAATATCCAAACACACAAGGAAGCAAGAAACCAAAATAAGCAATAAAAACACGTAGCAAAAAACTGACAAATAGATTAAAATTTTCAATGATCAGACTTATATAATAAAAACAACTGTGATATGATGTATAAAGATATAAAGGACAAACTTGAAAATATCTCTGGAGAACAGAAAACTGTAAAAAAAATAGCATTGCAAATTTGAAAAAGAACCAAATTTAACTTCTATAAATGAAAAATACAATAACTAAAATTAAAAGCTAAATGGACAGATTTAATGCATATGAAACATAGCTGAGAAGAGAATTGGTCAGCTGGAAGATATGTCAGAGAAATTATCCAAAAAGCAGCATAAAGACAAATACATAAAAACTATGGCGGAGAGGTGAAAAGACATGGCAAATATAAAAAGTTGTAACAAATGGAATATCTTCAATGTGCTGCAAGAAATAACCGACAACCTAGAATTCTACACCCAGAAAAAATATTTTTTTTCCAAAAATGAAAATAAAATAGAGATACTACCAGACAACAAAGCTAGAGAATTCATCCCCAGAGGACCTATATTAAAGGGACTTCTAAAAGATGCACTTCGAGCAAATGGAAAAGTGATCTGAGGTAGAAGGTCTGATAAGCAAAAAAGGAATTTTAAAAATTTAAATGGCAAATACACAAGTGAATCTAAATGAAAATGACTATATAAGAATAATTATGTCTTGAGGGATTATAAAAGCAAAAGAGAATTAAAATGTGTGACAACAACAGTACATAAGTGGGAAGATAAGTGGGGTGAAAATGTCCTAAGGTCTTTGTATTATCTAGGAAGAAGTAAGAGAAAGGTTAACTTTATAAAACCGTAGTAAGTAAGCATGCTGCACTTTCTAAAGCAACCAATAATGCAATAGAAAACAGAGTGCTTAACTTTCAATGAGTAGGGAAAAATTAAACTTAAAAAAATATGAAAGAAGACAGAAAAGACAGGTAAAAGAAACATAGAATGAGTGGGACAAACACAAAATAAGATATAGAGTTAAACCCAAACTTACCAGTAATTTCTTTAAACATAAATGGACTAAACGCCTAGTTAAAAGACAAAGACTGTTTATTATGCTGGATGCTGTGGGTTGAAATGTGTCCCACGAAAGATGTTGAGGTCCTAACACCAGTACCTGTGAGTGTGATCTTATTTGGAAAGGGAGTGGCTACAATATGATCAAGTTAAGCTGAGGTCATTAAAGTGGGCCCTAACCAATATGACTTATTCTTATTAAAAGGGAAATGTAGACTCTGAGACAGACACATACGGAGGAGAGACGATGGGAAGACACGGAGAACACCATCTGTGGAGCCAAGGAACACCTGAGGCCACCAGAAGCTCAGAGAAAGGCTGGGGACGATTCTCCCTCATAGGCTTCAGAAAGAACCAACCCAGCCAATGCCTGGGTCTCAGATTTCTAGCCTCCAGAACTGTGAAACAATAAATTTCTATGATCCGAGCCAACAGAGCAACCCAATTTGTTCTTTTATTGTTACAGCAGCCCTAGCAAACTAATATTCCAGATTTTTTTAAAATCATGTTCTCCCTCCCTTCTTTCCCCTCCCCATGCTTATTTGATAAAGACAGCGTTGTCCATGTCCCTGCCTATAGTTTTCCTTGGGGATTCCTCCTTTAGGCTTACTCTTTCTTCATACCCCCTATCCCCTGGGCAGGGTTCTGAGGAAGTGCTGTAGGGAGCAGAGTTTGGGGAAATTGAATACCTCACAGTGTCTAACCTCAGATTTTGGTCTAAAAACCTACCTGTTGAAAATGCAAATCAGCTCCAATAACAAGAAGTTTGTAGCCAAGAACTTAATTCCATTCCTAGGAGTCAGCTTGCTTTGGGGCCGACTCATACCTTTTCCTCCCTGCATTTGGGGGAGAGGTTAAACACCAAAGGAAGGAGGAGCCAGTATCCTTTGGCCTTGAGACCTGCTTGGGCAACATGTCAGTCAAATCTAAGATCCTAGTTGAGAAGCATTTGCACTAAAACTTCCCTAGGAAAACATATTATCCCAATACAATGTACTGCTTGCATCGCAGTGAAGACAGAAGGGGGTGCTTGGGTGTGGGAAGGGAACGGCCCGGTGTCCTTATGCCTTTCAGAGGTGCACATGGGGTGAGTAGAGGGTGTGAAAGCTGGAGCTTTTCCCCACCAACACTGCATTGGGTTCAGATTCTCCTCTGGGCCCTAATGGCACTGAAACTGCTGAGGTACAGCAGGGGTGAAGGGGGAGGGAGAGAGGATGGGGTGCTGCTGCTCTACCTGAGGTGGGCTGGGAGGAATGGTTGCATTTCCTCCTGACAGAGGGAAGCCAAATGAGGAGACAATGAAGTCAGTACTCAGTGGGTATGCAGAGAAAGATGGAAGAAAAAGGGAAAAAAAGACTCCATCACTGGATAAAGTGGAATTCAAAACACCAGATCTGTCTGAGAATTATTTGGTGGTATCCTGTCCACTCTGTCCTGTGACCCCAACAATCTTCAGTAGAGACAACATATTTCAAGGAATTGCTTGGTGTGACTGGGTTTCTTACAGAAACTGGTGAGGGGCCAAGTTCTGTGTATCAGCAGGCATGGGTCAAAGCAGCCAGCCCTGCAGATGAAGAGGGGACAGGGGACATCCAGCTACAGGCATCGTGCACAGCAGAACTCCGAGCAGGGGGAGCTGGAGCCAGCTTATATGGGTCCACAGAGATGATTGTTAGGTTTTCAGTCATCTTGCAAGTTGAATGTTAAATACAGCCATTATTTAAAATGACTGAATATATGTACTTAGAGTATTAATTAAAGTCTATTAAAGACAAAGATAATAGATACTCAAAACTCATCATTTTCCAATTATTCTACATTTGCATCTGCATGGAAATACAGATGCAAGGGTGGGTGGCTGCACATCTTTTCCCAAAACCATGTTCAGAGACGTCACACTGGTGACTTGAAATTGGCCATATTGGGAATATTTAGACCTTGGAAATTGGTAAATGCTACAAATTAGGACTGGAATTATTATCTTACTGATACATAGATTTAAGAAAATGTTAAAAATCCAGGTTAAACTTAAAAGTGTATCTTGACTGTAGCTGTTACACTGTAAATAGGACAAGATATTGAAATATTTTGTGAGTTCAAAACTATATTATCCAATTCAGCAAAGAACTCACATCCTTGACAGATGAAAGAAGTTCCAACATACAACTTCACTGATCACATTTGTCTTACTCCTTAACATCTGTGAAAATATCAGCTAACATTCACCCGGGAGCTACACTCAGAATGCTAGAAACATCTGCCAGCATACCACTGCCCCTGACCTATGGCTGAGCCCAATACTGACCCCCGCTCCAGCCCTGGGGTGGGGACTGGGGGGGCTACAGAAGTCCAAGGAGAGAGTCCCTGCCGTTGGTGCTGCACACTGTCCACCCAGAGGGAATGGCCCCTGCCTTGTGCCTGTGTAATCATTTTCCACCATGAACCACAGGTGGCACTCCATACCAACTATCAGCAAGAGGGGGGCCTTAAAAATAGGCACCGGAAGTTATTAAATATCAATTCTTCCCTGGCCTACTATTAAGCTGCATTTAGTGCTCATATATATGATTTTAAAGCACATAAGATCTGTATAATCAAAGAAGCATTGAAGCCAATTCAACATTTCTAATGAAAACACATTTTAGAAAGATGCTTCAAAGAAGTATTGAAACAAACAAAACCCTGTCTTCTTAAATTTGAACATTCTCCTAATTGAGATTTTTGTGAATTTGACTTCTTATTACTCAGTGCCAAGAGTATATACTTTGGGGTGGAAGGGGAGATGACAGTAAGAAAAGGGAAACAAAACAAAATGTTGAGTTTACCCATAGTCATTAAAAAATTACTTTCTTTAAAAGTAAAATTTCCAGTAAACAGAAGACTGTCCTTTAAGTACTTAGTTAGCCAAGGCTGCTGATTATTCGCAAATATCCATGCTCCATATTCCTTTAATAATGGAACCCCTGAAGTTTAGCTCATCACCTGGTCACCAGCACTACACTTTCACATCTTCCTTGGAGCTAAGTAAGGCTAAGTAAATAAGTCTGGCCAGCTAGATGCAAGTATAGGGTTGTGTGCAACTTTGAGGGCTGGGCCCTTAAAGGGGAAAGACATGCTTCTACTAGCTCTGTCCTGAATGAGTGGGATAGTAGGAACTGAAGGAGCCATTTAAGAGCATGAAGCAGGGACTTTTGTTAAGATGGCAGAGCAACAATATAGAAGGAGCCTGGGTCCCCAATACCATCAAGCCATTGTAACAGTACCAGATGGCCTTCCCAGACTTTAACATGAGAAAGAAATTATTAGCTTCTATTGTCTTTAAGCCACCATTACAGCAGCTGACTTTGTATCCTGAATAATATAACTGCCAACACTTAAGAACATTTTAACCTTTTTTTTTAATATTTCAGGAATGAAATTCTTTCTAGAACATGTTACACTTTTCTAACTCATTAAACAGAGCAGACAGAACATAATTTACTTATTTTTAATCAGAAAGCATAATTACTACAAAGAGATAGTGAAAAGGTAGAGGGCTGCTAGCCTGATAGTAAGTGGCCTCAGGCTCTGGGGGTTGGTTGATTCATGCCTAATTCCTGCAGTTTTTCTAACTCCCCTTACTATCAAACCATCAAGGATCAAATAAGAAAATACACATAAAGTGCTTTGGCTAGAACCACAAACATAGAAGTGCTCAACAAATGTTACATATCATTGCTATTAGTATTCATTATTATTATTATGTATTGGAGACAAATGGCTATTTTAAAAGTCCAGTACTTTTTTTCTGCTTAAATCAGAATTCCAATCATAAAGACACAGAAATGGAAAATCCCGCTATGTGGAGACACGGAGTCATCTGCGTCTACAGAATGGGAGCCAGGGCTTCTCCTTGGTGCAGACCCTCTCTCTTTATCTCCTAAAAAAGACTTCGATGGTTTTTTTAGTCATGGAGTCTACCTGTTGACCTTGGGGAGTCTCTGAACAAAGGACCTAAATCAATAGCAGATGCTGCCAATGAGATGTAAAATAACTTTTTGCATGGTGGTCAGGTTACAGCTCTTCAGAGAAAATTAATGGTAAGAGGTGTTTGCTTCCTTTGACTTGGATGAGAAGGGGACAGTAAAGCCATAATGATCCTCTCACAGCAGCGAGCTTGTCCCAGCAACATGGCTGTCAGCCAGGGCGAAGAGAGAGGTGGCCAGATGGGCCCTGGGAGGAGCCACGACCTATGAACTCTGGAGCACTGACAGCCAGTTGAACTTTCCCTTTCCTGCCCATAATTCACTCATGTTCTTCTCAAGACTCAGAGAAGGGGTTAAATGTCACCACCTGTATGATTGGTCTTAAAGGAGAAGCTTGCTTCCTACTTGGGCCAGAGAGAGTTTCCACATGTGCAGGAGCACATGACTGACAGAGCAGCTTGGGGTAGCACCAGGCACGAAGTGACAGACAGCAAGCAGCACAGACCTGTGATACAGTCAGCACCGCCAGCTGTTCTCAGAACCTCCCGGGGGCGAGTCTGCCGAGTCTGCCCTGCCGAAGGCTCAAACACTTCTTATTATGATAATATTGGTAGTATAAATATGCCATAATGTTATTACTGGTATGACAAAATTATGTTATTTATTATTTTATAATGGTAATATTATTGCATACTTTATTGTTCTATATTATTAACACATTATCATAGAATTATGATGATAATTATTATTATCCCCTCGGTGTCCAGCTGTGTGTGTAGTCTTCTCCCCCCAAACATCATCCCCTTCAAATCTAAGGCTATTAATAAACTGCTGTAATCGAGCTTGTAAGAAATGTGTCTACAGTAAAGTAAACAAACTCAGGGAGGGCTCGAAAGCATTTTCTTAGTAATAAAATACGAGAACTTTAAGAGTAGACCAAGTAATATCTCATTTTGCTTGCTCAGCAGTTTTTTAACAACTTCTGGCTCCCCAACTGTTGTCCCAGATTGTTAAAATTGCCAAATTAGTGGTTATTTGGTAAATGTAATGAAACCGTATAGTTTCCTTGCCAGCTTCTCCACAATTAAAACCTTTTTGTTAATAGTAAAGGGGGCTTCAGGGTCTAAGAAACTGTCAACATAAAACTGGAGAGACTTAATAGTTTGCCAACTTTATTTCGCCAAATAGAACCTTTTTAAAATTAGCAAATCCTGACAACATACAACACTTAATAAAATAAAATAAACTTTAACACCAAAATGGTAGGAAGCAGATATGTCAGAGTAAAGGATAATCCTTTAAGTGGAATCATTTTGGCTTTATGAGCCTTTCAGATGGTTCTTATTTTTCCCAGGTCATGAGTGGGTCGGAACTTCATGCAGACGGGCACCTGGTTTGGAGCCATTCTTCTCTGACGCTTGGGGAGCTGTCTGGGAGCTGCTGGCCTGAAATAATTCCCACCCGTTTCCCCAAGTGTATGGGAGGTGGACTCAAGGAAGAGCTGTGGCCCGTTGTCCCCAAAGCAAAACCCTGTGAGGCATGGGTGTGAGACCTGCCTACTTAGTGCAGGGCCCACAGTGCCTACTTAGCATCCCCAAAGCTTTCTTCCTGCCCTGAGGTGTCTCTGAGTGTTAGGAGCACTGAAAACTGCCCTTTTTAAGGAGACAGGAAAATTGCAAAGTCGGGTTCATTCCATGGAGTGAATTTCCATTTTTCCTGGCTCCAGAAATGCTGTGTCTGTCAGTAATTTTCATTCTTGGGTCACAGCTCCCAGGGGAGTAGGAGAAAGGCCAAACAGAAGAGAAAAGTTTTCAGTGTGTTTCTTCTTCGGCTCCTGGATTTGCTCCCTGGCTCTATAAACAGAAAGGCTGCCCGGTCCAGCCTTCCAGATGCAATTCCCAGTTGTGGGCCACTGTGCAGGTAGCTGAGCAGGAGACCTGCCCCGGGCCAGCTTCAGAGACACAGTTCTGAAGGTGTGGTGACCATGAGGAAAAGGGGGCTCCCTTCATTAGAAAAATAACCAGTGACAGACCTGGCTGGTTTGGCTCAGTGGATAGAGCATCGGCCTGTGGACTGAAGGGTCCCGGGTTCAATTCTGGTCAAGGGTACATGCCCAGGTTGTGGGCTTGATCCCCAGTTGGAGGCGTGCAGGAGGCAGCCAATCAATGATTCTCTCTCATCATTGATGCTTCTATCTCTCTCTCCCTCTCCCTTCCTCTCTGAAATTAATAAAAATATATTTTTAAAAATAACCAGTGACAAAAGACTTTACCTAAAAACTTTTATTAAAACCAACAACCCCCAAACAACTTTGAGTCACTTCCCCCCACCTACCGTTTTTCGTTTCCAGCAATTGGAAGAACTGCAGAGAACCAAAAGGATAAAGGCTGAATTCATAACCAGCTCTTCGGAAGCTTCGTCTTTCTGCTGACCTGAAATAATTTCCATACATTTCCCTAAATCTATGGGAGTTAATTGCCAATTTGCATTTTGGTTTGAGCATTCAGATCTCAAGATGGAAACATAAGCTCTTTATTTCAAGACAAGTGAACGAAGGGAAACTTCTGAAGCTCATTTTCTGATGCCCAAAGGCTTATGGGGCACAAGCTCATCTTTCCTCTCCAGTAGCATCTGCAAACATATCTCATCCGCAGGTCTGGGTTGCTTTATGTGACTGCAGTTACAATGGAGAATTTACCCTCCACCCCCAGCCTCTCCAAATCTTAATGTGTAAAAGGGTCACAGGATTTTAACTTTGCCTGAGACACCTCCTTGGAGCCAAATGACGTCAATACCTTTTACAAGCAGGAAACCATGAGTTCACACCCAGCATTTTCAGGATGAGTCCCTGACTGAGGCTCTAGTGGGGAACACTCGTCTGTGTCCTTTGACACTAGCCTGCTCTCATGATTAGTGTAAGTGACTCGGGGCCATCATCTGCTTCTACTAAAATAAATGACGAATGAGTTCTGGGAAGTGGTTTCCAGAGCCGCCCCAAAAGACAGTCAGGGGAAAGCTCGGTGTCCGAAACATTAATTTAGATGTGAGGCTGCATAATGTGTCTTTAGCTCTGACCCTAAAGTGGTCTCGCCTTACAGCTTCCCCCATCTGGTGTAATTTGCTTTGTCCACTTGTGAAAATGCACATGACAGCAACAGCATGCATCGTGTAACCACGGGGCCACGTCCCTTACAGCTCCATTGACAGAAAGGCATTGATCCTGCCTTTACTCAGCTCCCCACCTTTCCTCACATTCCCCTGCCCACGCACCCGTGCCCCAGCCCGATAGCACTTTGGAGAAAGGGGGTGATGGAGCCATACCTTGTACCCAGGTTTCCGCCCTCTTTTCTTTGGGATCTTCACTGCCGGTAAAGAGCCAGCTGACGCAGAATAAAGGTTATGAACTGCCATCTTCACAGGCGTTGAGTGAAGTGGGGGTCGGCCTCGCTTTCTCCCAGGGGTCCTCTGAGACTGCATTTCTGCTGGTGCCAGTCTTGCAGAAGAAGTGACAAATCACTCACAGGCAGAAGAGGCGCTAAGAATCCGTCCAGACACAAAGCAAAACAGAAACAGAAGTGTTTGTTTGGTTTGCAAGGCAAACATGGATCCGGTTTGGTGATTTTGGCCAAACCACCCCTTATTGGAGGGAAGACCAAATACAGGAGAGAGCCAGACACCACGAGGAGCTTTTATGGTGCTGTTGAGCTCCTGGTCTAATTTCAAGGATAGCACATTTCCATGGGTCTCTAGTGAAGTAGGAAAGGTACTGGCTAGGTGGAGAGGACAACAGATTCCCAACGCCAAACACAATTGATAGCATTACCAGCAACAAGACAAGTTTATCTATCCGTGTCTCACTTTCCCCAGTTAGTTCAACTTTGCACTGATATAATAATAGTATTAAATAGACATAATCATTCTCTCATATTCACTCCTATCCCTTTGGTTGGGTTGTGAATTGTTACAACCTTTTTTCCCCATGAATGAAATTTAACAGTGAAAATCAATTGTGTTAAAAGTCAGTTATATCCCTCAATCCAATTGTGGGCAGAGATTTACATACAGAAATATTTATTTTAACCTGATTTGTAATTGCAAAAATAAAATGGACACAACCCAAATAACAAACAATAGGGGAATAGTTGATTTATCTACAGAATGAAACAATCAACTAGTTAAAAGCCTTTAAAAATACCCTTAATAATATGGTGTTGAGTGAAAAAGCATCACATAAATTGCACATAAACATGACCTCAATTACACAAAAATGTATATGGTGAAGAAGTAAAAGGAAACATGCTAAAATGTTACCAATGGCAAAGATGGCGGGACTCTGGGTAACTGTTCACCAAGTGAAAATCCACTCTTCCAAGTGAATAGTACCACATACTATAATATTTTTAGAATTAAAAATACCAACAATAAGCTTCTCAAGTACAGTTGGCCAAATCTTTCAGCAAGAGCTTGTTGCTCATCCCCAACCCAGAGAACACAACCGATATCATGAGCTCAGGGGTCAGAGTTCCTGGAATGTGGCAAATGAGATAAGCGTTTGCCTTTTACTCAGGAATGATGTCGTGTAATAACATTAATTTCTGAGAATCAGTGGTACCTAACAGTGGAAATGAGAGGCTCTTGCTCAAAAGGTGGCAGACGGAGTTGGGAAAGATGATAGAAGCAGCCCCTACGCCCTGTCTGGGCAGTATGCAGGCACCAGACTGAGTTTTTATGCTCTTGAGGTGGTGACGCACTCTCTAATTTTGGTGGAAAACTTAGGAAATCTGAGTATGACGGAAAGATTGATAGACATGACTACATAGAACTCAAATGTCTTCATATAGTAAAAGTAAAATCTTGAAAATAAATGAAAATCTGAGGAGTCTATTTGCTACATTTGGGCCAACAAAAGGTTAATACAAAGAATTTCTTCAAATTACTAAAATGAAAATAAGAACTCTGATTTAAAAATGTGAAAGAGAGAGGATAAACAGAAATAAATGGCCAATTATCACAGGAAAAGATTTTAAACTTTACTGGTAACCTCCCCCAAAAGTGAATTGATATCATTTGTGGCTCTCAGACTGATAAATGTGAATAACCCTGACAATACTCTATTGGTGAGGGGGGAGAGGAATAGACACTATTATTTACAGTTGGCAGGGGTAGAAATTAGCCAACCTTTCTGGAGGACAATTTGAAAATCTCTTTAAAACTCACACATGCACATTTCCTGATCCAGCTATATTATTCCTAAGGATTTGTCTTAAGAAGATAATCTGGGAAGAACACAAAGATATGTGGCCAAGGATATTTTTTGCATATTAATTATAATAGTGAAATACTGGATGCAAGCAAAATATCTTTCCAAACAGCCTTAGTTTAGTAAACTATTTCATATTCATAAAACAGAATACTTTGTAATTTTAAGTATATATGCATGTATGCATACACTCATGCATATATGAACACTGCAAAATAGTATATATAGTAGGATTCTAGTCATGTCTTTTTATGTATATAGATATAGATAAATTTGCATATGTTCAGGCATAGAAAGAAGTCTTCTCTGATATTTCTGGTGATAAAATCGTCTTTGCCTTTTTGTAACAATTTGGGGTATTAAAGCAGTGACCAGGGGATCAAAAGCCAAAACCACTAGAAAACAAGAAAACAAAAAAGGCTGAATAAAAAGTACACATTTCCAATAGAAACTTCCATAGAATGGGAATTATTCCCTCATTGTTAATTTTTTATACTGTTTTTCTACCTATGGTTTAAAAAATGGTACCAAGAAGAAAGCAAAAACAGAGGCAACCACCCTCCTTAATACCACCTTCTTCCAGGTGGGGTCAGGTGGCAGCTGGGTTACTGCCCTTCCCCAAAGATTTCCCATCATCTCCAAAGACCTCAAATGCTCTCCAAAGACATCCTAGCCATGGACCACAACTTGATACAACCGAGTATATAAATCATTTCAGAACTGTCACAGCCCTGGAGGTGGACATGAGACCTCTGAGTTTCTCTGCTTTCAGTTGTGCACTTGGAAGCCATCTTGGAGCAAAGAGCTTTAGCAAACATTAGGAGATTCTGCTCCTAGTACAGCCTAATCATCAGTCTCTGGATCGCCAAGTTTTGCCTCGATGAAGTTGTTAAATGATGACTTGACGTATTAAATCAAGTGATTTGCAGCTGGTTTCCCAGGCAGGTCTCCCTTTTCTTATCAAAACAAGGCTTGGCTAGAAATAGTACAACTGAAACCAAGAGAAACTAAGATCTGGTCTATGAATTTAGGGATGACATTTTACCTGTTCGTCTTGCCAATTTAATGCATGTAAATTAATGGTAGCTCTATCAAGGTCAAAAACAAGGAATGACCAAATCCAAAAGCATACGTCAATGCCATGGAGTCACCTGGGAGTCAATCCTGAGGCATGTATTCATGTATCCACTCATTCATTCACTCATTCATTTATCAATTCATCCAACAAATATCTGTTGACTACACAGTGACTGTAAAATACTGTGCTTAGACACTTGGATTACAGATGAAAATACATAAGGTACATCTCCTAACGTATTCACAAACTATGAAGAAGCAGACAAGTAGAGAGACAATAATAATATGTGAGATAGATAGTGGCACAGAGGTTTCATATCAAATGCTGTGAGAACACCATGGAGGAAAGAAATCAGTTGGGAGCAGTGGGAAGAGGAAAGCACACGAAGGTGACACCAGAGGCAGGATATTCCCAGGCCGAGCAGAGCAAGCTAAATGCACAGAGCTGGCAATGGAACAGGTACGTGCAGGGGCATTTGGTGGTACATGGAGAAGGATGGGCCAGCCAGACAGGACGCAGGATCACTGGCCTTCTGTTGTTTCTAAACGCATTAAGAGGTAGAAGTGACAAGGGTCTCTAGACTCCTAATGGACTCTAAAGCATTTCCTTCTGTGAACTGCATGGAATGGGTTTCTGGCCTTGCTATAATGCTCTTTCTCATTGCCATTTCAAAAGGACAACAAAATCCTATTTTCTCTCATTCATGGGCACCATGTTAAATTCCCCACATGCCAGTGTCTCTATTGTGATTCTTTTGTCAGCAGCCTCATATACAACCTAACACCATGCTCCACAGGATGCTTAATTCTGTGTGGAAGGTGGTTTCCAGTGATAAGAATGCACCTTGGCATTTATCTAAAGTTCAACCATTCTTCAAGGTGGCCCAAGCCCTCCTGCTTCTCCTCACACTCTCACTTCTCTCAACTCCGTCACCACCTATTGCTTGCACCACCAGTTTCAGCAAGCTCTGGTTAAATGATGGTTTATATCACTTTCTCATTGTTTCACCCACATAAATGATTTCTGTACATTCCTGGAGGCCATGGGCCGTATTTCATATGTCACTTTGCTTTTCACAGCACCTGGTGCAATATCGCACCCACAGAGTGCACCTGGCACCTGTGGCAACACCGTTCACCAGGGAGTCTGCCCGTCTCACCTGGGCTGACAGCCCACAGCTGGGCTCAGAGGTATTTTCAATTCTGGGTGTAAATACATCAATATAAACGAACACCTTGATGGCCAATAGAAACCTCATACTATAAGAAGAGGGACAGCAACATGTTCTGTTAAATTGAGGAAATACATTCTCTTAATATACATTTTTCCCAGTTCTGACACTAAAATTGGGCCAACAGAAGCAAAGCCAGCACTCATCTGTACTCCTACCTAGTGCTCACATGTTTCTCTCTGATGATTTAAGAATATCCAGGGTATCGTGGACTGACAGTTGTCAGAGGGGAGGGGGTTGGGGACCGGGTGAGAAGGGTGAAGGGATTAAGCAAAGAAAAAAAAAAGAAAGACTCATGGACGCAGACAGCAGTATGGTGATTGCCAGAGGGAAGGGGGTGGCTAGCAGGAGAAGGTAAAGGGGAGATGACTGGTGATGGAAGGAGACTTGGCTTGGGGTGGTGAACACACAGAGAATGTGCTATGTACTTGAAACCTATATAATTTTATTAACCAATGTCACCCTAATAAATTTAATAAAAAAAAAGAGTGTCAGGGGTAGTGTTAAGAGGACAAAGAAGCAAATTGTAACAATTTATGAATCAACAGCAACAACAACAATGGTAATATAGTGAGTTGAAGTAATTGTGAAAGGCTAAGAGTTCTTTATGAGACTCAGAAGACAGATGGTGACAGAGAGCCGAGCCTCATATATTTAAGGGGGAGGAGGAAACACATAAACCAAGAGCAGAGAATATGTGTAGTGAAGTGGGAGAAACACCATTACCACCTGCAGGGTTTGGAAAAATGTTACAGTGTCTGAAAGCATGAGAGACAGCACACCACAGAGCTATGAATAATTCACCGGCTGGGCTGTTCCCTAAATCTCCCTGTTTGCTGGATCTGCCCTCTCCTCATCCAGCACAGGAAGAAGAGAGAAACCGCATCCCACTCTAGCCCCCCCACCTGGGCCCACAGCCGCAGCTGCTCCTCAGCTGCAGCTGCTCCTCAGCACGTGGTCTTCAGA